GACCAAAACTAGTTCCTGGCAAAATCTGAACACTGGTTCTTAAAATTCTTACGACTAACTCTCCCTCTCTCTCTCCCTCTCTCTCCAAAAGAGGTTTCAAAGCTTAAACTTCACTCCTTAGGTAAGTTTTGATGACAAAAAAAAAATTGCACTAAATGCATATTTATATCAATTCTCCAGTGAATTCTAAAGAAAGGTGGATAGCAATACCAAAGTGAAAAGAATTATCTGTCACCTGAGTGACAATCAAGGGCCTAAAAGATCCATACATAAAAGTTTGGAAAAACAGATTATCCTATAAAAGACTATCTGCTACCCCACCCCACCTCCCCCTTTTTTAAAAAAACTATCAGATAAAAATTAGTTCTATAGGTTAAAAATCTTTAAATTGTGTTTTATAGTGCATTTTTTTGTGAAGCAACAGATTTGATGAAAAGAATGAGATGAACATCTGCATCAAAAGTTTTAACGTAACAAACATTCCAATACTATCAAAAAGTGCAGCAACTAGAGTGCACTAAGAAAAGATTTCACCATAGGATTTATTTTTATAAAATATTTTACCTGTGGTTTGGGAGAACAAGAATAGGGATATCTTCAATTATCAAGTACTTTAAAAACTTTAACTTAAAAACAGTAAGTTTCTGCTTAAGTAAGGGTAAAAATCAAACTCTTCCTAATTTTGGGATTGTATAAGGTTTTTGGATAGAAATACTACTTCTCTTCAATATCTTTAAATGAAAAAAACACTCTTTTCAAAAGCCTTTTTCTAATTATGCAACTCTTAGTAGCGTTCTTTGATGCCAGAAATTCTTCTGATTAGACTAAACTTCGGAGAGCCTATTCATTACTTAATAAGTAAGCATTTTCACTGTTTGAATCCACTATAAGCCAGCAGTAAGATTTAAACTGAGAAAGCAGCCAAAGAGTTTGGGAGACAGTTTGCTTTTCCTGCCTAGATTTTTACTGCCACCATCATCCAGGACGGAACCTGCTTTATTCTCTTTGTGCACATACAAGGAACTTTGTTTCAAATCTGCTTTCACAAAGGTAAATTTGCCCCTTCAGTGTCGTATAAGGAGACATGAATTTTGATGAAGGCAAATACTCTGCTGGGAGATGAAACTTGCTATTGTTCAATGTCAATGCAAGCTACTATGACTTCAGGAAGAAGATCCACCCGTAACAGTTATCCCAGAAGTAGTACTAGGGTTCTTGTCACTTACCATTGAAGTGGTTTCTTTTGATCCTGAGAAGGGTTGGTGACTTTCTTTCACAGCAGGGACTTCACCAGCTTACCCGGGTTTGGTTTTGATAGGGTGCTAGAAGATGGGCAACCTAGCTTTGCCCTGTGGCTCTCTCTCCAAGCTGGATATTCTAGGTCTAGAAGTTGACTGGGAGCAGAAAAGACAACACATTCCCCTTCAATAAACAGGTGAAGTGGGGCCTGATACTTGCACATGGCTTTCAGATAGAGCCTTCTCAAGGAGTGATTTCTTTTCCCTTAACTGGCATGCATTCTCTCAATGTTTTAAGAATGAAAGAAAGCCTCATGTGTATTTTGGACTCAAAGAGCATCCTTTTGTTCATATTTAAAGTCTTTCACATTTCAATCACAATGCCATTTTAGAAAAAGGTTTCAGAAGACACTTCTCCTTTGCTTTTCAAACAAAACCAAGGCAGCATTTTACCTCTCAGAATGATCAATTCCACCTCCAGTTAGAGGAAAATTACTCTTATAGATTGGTGGGATATGGATACAGATACAAGCTATTACCAAAATTATTCGTCCTCCTGAAACAGATACCTGAAAAGCTTTTCCTCCAAAAAACAGTTCAAGCAGCAACAACAGACAGAACCCCAACTACAAGATAGAGATAATTCTCTTAAGTAGAAAGATTGCCTTAAATTCTTTAGGACATGTTATTTTCACATTGCTACCAATCTTTTGTTCGAGCGTCTACTGCATTCACATAAAAATACTCCCAAATATATTTCAACAAACTTCTTACCAGGAATTCAGAAAAAGTGGCATTATACCACAAGCGCAAGATCTGACATCCAATATGCCATTCTCCCAAAAAAAGGCTTCCAAGTAAAATCCAACTTGTTTTAGCAGTTTAAATTCTAAATCATCATGATCTGGCTCCATGATGAATCATATGCAAAGACAACAGCCTATGATTTCAAGTAACAAAACAACAGAAATAATGGTACAATTTGTTTCTTAAGGATGCAGCTTGAAGCTCTTCAAGGAGCTAAATAAATAAATAAATAAGGTTAACCTTCTCTTACATTTATTTCAAAAGGAAACTACCGTAAAATATTCAGACCAGTCTGAAGAATTTTCTTATCTACTACAAAGTGATGGCAGGGATGTGACAATGTAGACTTCTGTAAAATTCTACATCCACATATAGAATTTTGCCTGCATCCAGGCAAATTGAATGCAGCTGCCATGCTCTATCCATCCTCTCTGTACCTCTCTGGAGGCTGACAAGAAAAATATTTTTTCTCCATAATATGCAACATCCAATATGCTTTTATTTACATCAGTCTCAGATAATCTCTTTTTCAAATGGTAAGGATGTCTGTTAGTTATCCAGCAGTGATCAACAGCAGACAAACCCTGTGCACCTGGTGTTCTTGCATCCAAATGCTAAGACCACCAGATCAGCAGCAAAGTTAAGAAATCACAGTCCAAACAATTGCGGGCTAAATATTTTTCATTCATAAAACCAGGAAACAACAAAAACTTACTGAAACAATACTCAAAACCAGAATTACCAATTCACAGCACATTCTGAGAGAATCGGCTATAAACTGAAAAAGTGCTATATAAAATTTATATCAAAAAGTACTACAGACATAGAAGAACCCAGTCAATCGCTGAAGAAAATCTTTCGTCATCTACATTAAAATATACTGAATTACAAAGAAAGCAGTTAAAAATAATCAGTGAAAAAAGTTACAACTCTCCCCAACAAAACAAAAAATCCAAACAAGCAGTGAGCATTATTTCAGCTGAAATAGTTATTATCAAAAGCACTTGCAGAGCAGTAGTACAATGTTTGTTACGTTAGTTGGAGTGAGAAAAGGTTTATATAATCATTGCTTAGTATTTTACTGTAGAGGAAAAGGTGGATTGTTAAAACAGTGTATGCCAAGATTGCAGTGTCAATTACTGATAAAAGTTTCGATGACATTCATTAGCCTGTTTTTTCCCCTTTGGAATAATACTGTATAAAGATTTAAACATCACAAATAGCATATAACATTTAGACCACTGCACTGAGTGTTCTCTGAACTACAGGATATTAACCTCTACTCATACGAATATTTAGATCAATATTCAGATCTATTTACTACATATAGCCACTTTTTTCCTTTCAAAGGATATATACATACTAATGTTTAGTTATGACAGATTTAGCAGCTTTCTCCATTTTAACATATTATAAATAGCACTGTTCTGATGAGAACACTTACATAAATGATAATAAGCTTAGCTTTGGTTAAACAATCACAGTTCCCTGCCAAGCTTTCATTCAATTTCTCTTTATTTCTGTACATAAACATATCACCAGACCTAAAAGACTCTTCAGTCAAACAAAAGAGTTTTTTGTGATTTTGAATGATCACGCAGGAAGTGATTATCTGACTGCGGCATCTAACCAAACAGAGCCACCAACACAGTATTAGCAGAAAGCGACTTTCACACACTTTAAAGCAGGGATCGTAATAAGTGGTCCATAAAATTCTATATTTAATCAATTTTATTTATTCTTTCTGTGTGTATCCTGAGCTAACGGACAAGGCTGAATTAAAATGTTCCTGTAGTAATGAAACACTCAATTTCTTTAAGGAAATTTTATTTATTCTACTAATAGAGGGTGAGGGGAACAAAGTAGTACTTAAATTATCTTGCCAGCATCAGAAGTACAGAAGTGAAAACAGGCACAGGTAAAATTAGAGGCATATTTGGAACTCAACTTCACACTATTTCAAAGAATACTCCTTGCCTCACGAGTGGAAGGTAGTCAGACAAGACCACTAGAAGTGGTCTAGTCTGGTCAGAGAAGAACTCTAAAAGTTTGGGGCAGACAGGAAAATGATCAGAGCTCCAGCCAAGAAAACCAAGAGCCAAACACTTCTTAAAACGCATTACAACAAATGCAAGGAGAGGAGAAGAATTTGTTCTGTTCACCACCAGCCAAAGATGACTAGAAGATGCAACTCTTGTGCTTGCCCTTCAATTCAGAATTTTTACTGCATTTCCAGAAGCCACTTTATAATACACCCATTTATAAGCCACAATATTTGAAGAATGTTTACCAGACAGGAAGAAAGTCTTTACAGATAACAACCCTAACAAGTATCGTGGTGTCCTTTTCATGGAAAAAAGGACCAAGATTCAGATCATGGACGTATCTAAAAATAACAAATTGTTGGGTAGGTAGAGCAAGTAAGATTCTTGTAACTCTGAAGTGAGCTAGGAGGAATGGCATATGAGCCTGGATGCACACTGCTAACCTAAACACACTCAGTCAGGTAAATTTACTCATGACTTTCACAGCCAGACCAGATTAGAAGAGTTGATTCTCTACAGGAAAAGGATGCCCAATTATGTAATCTAAACTGATTTAATGGATGCAAATTTCTTTATATTATAAAGACCCCTGCACATCACAAATCATTCTTTATGTATGTATACATATGCATGCACAGATACACACACACCCCAAAAAGGCGGGGAAAATCAGTTATGTCAAGCATTACACAGCAGCAATAGTTATCTTCCAAAACTTCTTTAAGCCTTAACTTACCTCAATGATTAAATGTCATAAACTTGAAGTTATGCTTTTGTAACAAAACACCATTCACCATGATTGATGCCATTTGTTTCCTCCTCTCCCTAACCTCATGCACAATGACATATGCCAGTTTAAAAAAAAAAAAAAAAAAGCTCCAAAGTGAACTAGACAAATTAAAATACTTACTTATCAAAGCTATCACTATACTTTATGAAGCTCTCCAATTTTTCCTTGGCATATTCTACCACATCTGAATGAAGCTCTATTCCATGATTTATCCCAAAAGGTCCTGTAAATAAAAACAGCATTTTTTTTTCTTTAAACAAAGCCTAACCACATGGAACAGTACTGTATCTTTCATCTGTAAAAGTACCAACATCACATAAAAGATTTAAGTCTCCCAGTGTAGCTGAGCAGATACTTTATTTGCACTACAGATGATTAAGAGGAAATATACGATGAGGTACAAGGCCACAGGCTGAAAGACAGAACTAGCATAGCACTGTGGCAAAATATAGTTTGATATCATTAACTTTCTTCATAAAGAAAAATGAACCTAACTATATTTCAGCCAATGAGCTGCTCCTTTTGTCTCAAAACATCTGTTAGACAACATTTTCAAGTCCTTTAGTTTGTATTTTGATATTGAAAGTTTGGAGAGCTTTCTTATGGCACATTTTTCAACTTTTAGCAATTTGAACATTGTTAAGCGATATAATTAAAATCTGTTCTTCTATCATGAAGTTCCCCAAAACGCAAGTTAAAAGTGCTGATTTACTAACCAATCTCCATGCAGCACAATGAATTTGACTACGCTTCCTGGTTTAATTCATTGTAACGGCACTACAGTGCAACTGTGCAGTTGCATTCTTACAATCAATATTTGGTATCCAAACCACCCCCTTCAAAGTTAATTTCTGTGCTAGAAGTAAAAATTATTTCAGGAACAGGAGGAAAACATGAGACAGTATTACTAAGATAAGTGCACATCAGGAAGGCATCTGAATCAGTCACATCTGCTGTGGGGATTCTATATTTAACACATACTCATAGCCCAGAGACCTTAGTCACTGGAGCACAGAATTGGGATAGAGAGAGGAAAGAAAAGAAAGCGAATGACAAGAAATTCTAAATATTAGCCCCAAAATGTTAGACAACGTAACAGAATTTGTCGTTAGTCAGACACTGATTAATGAAAATACCAAGGTTACTAGACAACTGGACGGTAAGAAATCTCATGAGATTCAACAAGGGCAAGTGCAAGAACCTGCACCTGAGGGGGAATAACCCTGGACACAGGGGTACTAGCTGGGGACTGACCTTCTGGAGAGCAGCTCTGCAGAGAGGGACCTGGACCTGGGCATCATGGTGGACGACAAGTTGACCATGAGACAGCAGTGTGCCCTCATGGCCAAGAAGGCCAACGGGACCCTGGGGTGCATTAAGAGGAGCATCTCCAGCAGGTCGAGGGAGGTGATCCTGCCCCTCTACTCAGCCCTGCTGAGGCCACATCTGGAGTTGTGTCCAGTTCTGGGCTCCACAGTACAAGACAGATGTGGAGCTGCTGGAGAGAGTCCAGCGCAGGGCTACGAGGATGATCAGGGGCCTGGAACATCTGCTCTATGAGGAGAGGCTGAGGGAGCTGGGCCTGAGTGAGGAGAAGGGGGCCAGCCTCTTCTCAGTGGTGGCCACCCACAGATCTAGAGGTAATGTCCACAAACTGAAACACCAAAAGTTCCACAGGAACTTAAGGAAAAGTTTCTTAACAGTGAGGGTGACAGAGCCCTGGAACAGGCTGCCCAGAGAGGTTGTGGAGTCTCCTTCTCTGGAGATCTTCAAAACCCGCTTGGATGCGGTCCTGTCCACATGCTCTAGGCGACCCTGCATGTACAGGGGGGTTGGACTAGATCTCGACAGGTCTCTTCCAATCTTAATGATTCTATGAAATCCTTTCCATTTTATTTCAGCTATATAAGTATCCTAAAGAACAGGAATTCTGCTTGACAAGGAGACGTCAAATTCAACAGCTTTCCAAGAGTCACTCAAAATAGATTAGATAAATATAGAGATAAGAGTGCAATATACATGATCTGTAGTTTTGTTTAGAAAAGTCACCATAGAACAGGGTAATGAAAAAAAGCTTTCCATCATGGAGAAAGATCAATGACTAGTCTAACTTACTAAAACGAGCATATAAAAATATATAGCTAAATATTTGCTTAAAAAAGAATACAAAAATACTACTGTAACTCTGAACTTAAGATATTAAAACACCTACTCTCTCAAACAAAAAAATCTTCCAAAAGGCAAAACAGCACCATCAGAACACTTGCTTTAACTTCTGCCTGTGCATGAACATTAATTCCTGTTTCCACAAGGGGGAGCTAAGAAATCAGCTGTTGGATTTATTTATAACAAAAGGAACAAGTAACACTGCTGACCAGGGAGAAGGGGGCAACAACTGAAGTTTTGGGTACCCATTAAGTATATCTTATGCTCTTTAACAACTTGTTTTCCTTCCTATCATTTTAATTTAGTAAATCAACACTCCACACTTCAGAGTTGTGCACATATATGCAAAAATCTGTATCACCAGTTAGCAAGCTTTCTGAAAAGGAAAGAAAACTTTATAATACAGTTAATAAAATTGTATCTAGGACAACTACTTACTAAAATAAGTTATTTTAGGTGATGAAATTGGTCAAAAAAAGTGAGACAAAACTACTGTAACAAAAAAAAAAAATGAGGTAGATTTTACAATTTAAGTTTGGCCAGCAGTAGCTCATTTTATCCTTTCTTCACACAGGACATGCACTAATCTTTGAAGAGAACTGTCTGCACGCTAAGACGGCAGATTTATATTTTTCTGTAAGTTTTTCCAAGCACCATTAGCCTTCAAACTTTAGATTTTCCTTTCTACCAACTGAGGAAAAAAAAAAGTTATCTGGAAATAACGGCATGAATATGTTAGTTTCCTTTGACTTTTCTACTTAAGCAAAGACTTTTTTTTCCAAATGCAAATTTTAGACAATAAAAATGCAAACATAAAAAACTGCCTATTCCAAAACACTTCATGATATGTCAAACCTGTATATAATATCCAACACAGTAAAAAACCAGTATGAGTCATTTTCAAATATAGCACTGCTACTTTTAAAGAAGTAGATAGTAAAGTAGTAGTAAAGTTTTACAAGGCTTGAAAAATAGGCAGAAACAGCATAAAACAAAAATGTTCAAGTTACCTAATATTAATCCCACCATCGTACTCAAATATCCGGTTCCACTACCCAGATTTAGAAAAGATAATCCAGGCTGAAGCTTCAGTGCTTCCATGACTTCAGAATAAATGCAGGGGGCTGACAAGTGTATATTTCCATGCTTCCAGGCCAAGTCTTTATAAGCATTGTCCCTGTATCCTTCCAGATAATAATCACCACGATCGATTGCTCTGAAGGCTTGTTCCACACTCTCAGTGCGAATATACTGAGCTTCTTTCAAGTTATCAATTAAGTCATCGTTGTCTTCTCCAGCACTCACAGCTCCTCCCATGATGAATTTCTACTTAATTCTGTTAGTTTGCAAAATACATGAGAAGGAGAGTTTTCCAAAATGCAGCGTGCAATGGATTCTGTTCTTCTTTCAAAAGCACATCAGAAATGAATCCTGAAAGATATATTTACATAGTTTGAGTTCCAAAAGATTAAAAAAAAAAAAATAACAAGCGTTAGAAGGTGACAGAAACACCTTCTAATAGGAGAAACACTTATAATCAGCATCGGAGTCAGGATAGCTAGCATTTCATCGAAAATCTGCCCTCCAGATTCACATCCACTTCATCCACTTCACTGGCTTAGCTCTAATACACCAACATTAACAAATGATGCAGCACAGGAGGAGTTTATACAGGATGAAAACATCCAGTACTAAGAACCTAACACACATCATATATGTTTGCAGAAAGGGAAAGTCTTTGGACTAGCTCAAATTCCATCCTGAGAACTAAGTGTCCGTCCGAAGTCGGGAGTAGGTTCCAGTTCAGTTGAAGCGTTCGCTCCTGAGCCAAGCCATAATATTAGCGCAGACACAACCACACACTGTTCTGCTCTTAAATGACGAGGAAGATTCAAATTCTATTAGCGTATTTCAGAATAAAGAACTTATTACGTAGTCACTACGCTATTAACCACTCAACTCATCTATTCCACATGTTAGCATTTTGAATGCTGCAAGAATTACCACTAGAATAGCAACCAGATACTGGAATAAAGGAACACTACTTTAAATCTCATTTTCAAAGATGCAGCCTACCAGGGTTTCCTTAAAAAGAAGGGTTCTGTTCACAGTTCTACCATATGTACTCTTATGAATTCTCTCCAACGGTTCATGGATGAATAGAGTACTCATGGCATGTTATTAGCATTAATTACAAAGTTTTGCATAGTAAAGGTCACTCAGCCTCCCTAAGCTTAGCCAACAGAAGAAAAAAAATTATATATATACACCTATCAGGACTGCTGGTCCACATCCTACTCAACCGTACTTCCCTTTTTAGGTTTTTTTTTTTTTTTTTTTTTCTCTCAAATAGTCCTTTAACATGCATCCAACATTACACATTTCAAGTCCAAACAAGCATGGACTGTTTTTAAAACCCAACACATTTGATAGATGTTTCTCTACCAGAAGAAAGCAACTGTCTTACAAACCTAAAAAGAAAAGAGCCAAACAGGGTATTTTTTTCCCAAAAGGTAACATTCTAAGATTACACTGACAAGAGGTATGTACACAAGACAAAACATGAAAGTAAGAACATCACATAAGCTCACCATGGTATCTACTATTTTTTTTTAATGAGCAACAGAAAAACATGAGCACACTTATACTTATTTTGTTATACGAAGTACAAATAATTCAAAAATGTCTCTTCAAACCACCATATTTCACTAAATCTTTTTTGTTTTTTTTAGTAGGGACCTATTTTTTGTCTGAGCTTTTTGTTCGTCTTTTGTATAAAATTACCGTTTTATAAATGCCCACTTGTATAAATGAGTAAACCAGGAATTGGCAAACAAACCACATGCCCAAAGTCATCTCGAGTTATCAGTACGAAGCTGGTTCCTAAGTGTAGATCATCAAGGTCAACTGCAACATTTTTTACAGTGAAATAATTTAAATACAAGCAACAATCAGAAACTTTTTTCCCCCCCCTCATATCATTGTATCACACTAAACAAAGATTTTTGGGGTCCCGGGCAGTTTAATTCTTCATGAAAGTGATAACAAAGACTATGAAAGACTATTAAAACGTCTTTGAGAACAAGAATTTTTACCTAAAGTGTGCCCACCTGCTGGACTAGAATTAAAATAAATAAATAAATAAAATAAAGAAATAAATAAAAACACACACACACACAAAAAACCACACACACACACAAAAAAAAAAAACCCACCCACCCACACACACACCACACAGACACATACAGACGGAAGTGAGTGGAAGTTAGGTAGAACATTGCATGGCTATCTCCTTTCCAAACAGGGGTGAAGACCTTAGCTGTTCAGAACTTAAGCTTCCCATGGAACAAGTATTAGTACCCCAAAACAGGGAGTTGGAAGTACTGAGTCCCAGTTCTCCTCAGGACTTCCTTGTCTTCCAAGAAAAGGAACTTCATTTGTATTTGCAGCCTGTGCCGATAGAAATGTTTTCTTGTTGCCCTCTGCATTAATTTGCATAAAAACACCAAGTCACTAAAAAATAACTAACTAGGAGAGATAAATGTTAATGGTTATTAACAGGCTATTAAGCCCTGGTAATAAAATCATAGGGAAACTGAAGACTCTCATTCAGGCAATATGTTTCCATCTAAACCAGAAACAATTCTCATTAACAAACAAACAAGACACCAGGCACAGTGATCACCCAGGAAAAAAACTTTTGGCACAGTGCACTTTCCAGGATGCAAGTATGCACATATGTATATCCTGACATGCACAATCCCCAGGCATGCTCCTTTTGATCTGTGAAAGGAGGGACATTTTCATTTGTAAAAATATCCCAGGTCAGCTCATATGTCCACAGGTGCAACACACTTGAAAGATTAAATTTACCTTCACAGAAGACTTTAAGTTGTTGAATCAAATAGCTAAAAAATTGAAAAAGCTATAGAAACTGAGAAACAGTAGTTATCATCCCTTCACCTCCCACCCAAAAAAAAAAAAAAACCCACACACACACACAAAAAAAAAACTACACACACACACACAACACACTATCATTCACCTTTAGTCCCACCTGCAGAACATATTCACTACATCCAGCCACCAGATGGAGAACTCCACCAACTCTCTGTGGCTCTACAAGTCAGCAGGCAATGCACAAACATTAAGGAAAATGGATATTCTTCCAACTGGACAAAAGACTTTATAGTTTATCAATGTCTTTATTAGGTTCACCAAAACAGAAGTTTTCCCCATAAAACAGCATTTATCAATTTCAAGACAACTCACCACATAAACAAAATTAAAGTCAGTGTTTTGTAATTTTATTTTCTCAGGACTTTCTCATATCTCAGAGATTCACTACTGATGGCACTGTGCAAGCCTTTCATCTTCATTAGCGGTTATCACCCAGAATCTCAAAGGCAAAAACACATTTGATATACACCACAGCACTAAATAAATCAAGGGAGAAAAACAAAGCCTGCACCTTTACCATCTGCTGGGGCATATACAGCAAAACTGAGTGGCTAGTTGAAAGTGTGGTTGATTACTTCTAATTGTAGATAAAAGTAACTTAATACTGCCTTTTTCTGCACAAGTTAAGGACAGGGACATTCTTCACTTTTTAGTTAATCTGCTTTTTGTTTGATTCAATTATTCAACTACGGCGTCCTACCCCAGCATCTAGAGATACAGTTACCAAACACTCCACTTGACAGAGAAATTATTTCTATGAACAACAATATGTAGGAAGTTAAACAAATCAATGTAGTCTTTCAGGAGAAATGATCTATTGTAGTAGCAGTTTTAGAGGGACATTTGCCTTCAACACATTTATGCTAGGAGGCAAATTAATTGTTAGATACACCTGCTACTATTTTAAAGATACAAAAAGTTACCCCACAAACTATTCTGCTAAGAGTTTGGGGAAAAGAAGCTAGTTAGCCCAAGTTTCCTTGTAACAGGTGATCCGGGAAGAAGATAAACAGAATATATTAAGACAAAAAATTATATATGGCTACACCTCACAAGACCTACAGAAAGTATCCTGTGAATCCTACTGATGTCCAAACTGAAATGCATGAAACAAACAGTATGAGTAGCATTTTGATAAGTGTTATACCAAGTAATATGAAAATTTTGGAATAAAATAGGTAGGGTACATGGCATTAACATAAAATGCCACAATTGTCCTTAGCCCTAGCAATCCTTGGAATCCAGTAACCATCAGAAACTGTAGCTTCAATATAGTTTTTTAAAGGATTTTGTTCACTAATTTAAGTTAACTACAGTAAAAAAGAAAGTATTTCTTACTCTACACTATTCATGAATTTCTTTTTATGTGTTGGATAAGTTTATCTTGAGAAGTTTCTTCTGATACCACTAACGATACAGCATCAGTAAAATTTTCTATTGATTTGTAAAATCATATACAATTGCACCTCTTTTGTACGTGACAACTCATAACCAATTTTACTGGATTTCTTTATGATAACATTCTGATTTTTCTCCTGTTGTAACATTAAATAGGTATTTTGGGGCTCTGTGAAGCTACAAAAGAGCTGAAAAATTAAGTGCATTTAAATTCTTCATTATTTTATAAGCCACATAAACTCTGATCTATAATTTAATGCAAGTTTTGCAAGTTCTGCTTATCAGCTGCCAATCATACGGAAACACATTTTTCACATTTCAGATTTAAAATAAAACAATAAAAAAACCACACACACACACAAAAACACATTTGCACTTTGTAAATAAACTCCTTAAGCCACTTGGACTGCAGGCTTTTCTTCAACACATGCTAAATGTTGTACTAATAGGGTATCAACTTAACTTGACAAACAAAACCTTGCCCTTTGTAAATGCATACAATTATATTATAAAATTTGTATTTTATAATACTACCACATTCTGACCACACATTTTCTAGGACCATCCATACAACTTGATCTCACTATCTTTACTTCTTTACTTTTATTTTGTCTAAAAGGATAAACAAACAAACATGATCCTCCATATTTCAAGCCTGCTTTTTGGAGAACCAGAATATACTGGTTTCATTTAAATGTCAACTCTGAAAAGCCAAGCACCATACTGAACTCAGTAAGTGAATGCATCATTTGCACTATGGCATACAAAGTTGCTTGGTAAGATATGCCCTTTCCCCTGCCTAAGGGAGGGTGGGGAACCACACCTGTTTTAAATAGGTGACTATAAACTGTGAAACTCTTTCCAGAATAAGCAGTATCCCATGACTGGGTACAGTAGGGCATTAACCCCACACATGCACACAAAGACCTAAAAAACTTCAGTCCATTTGTACAGTTGCAGACAGTTCTGTCAACAGCAGTTTTGTTGTTGACGGAAGTCAGCAACATGAATTTTCATCAGCAGAAATTCAGTGTTTCCTTGGCTACCAACATTAAGCCTATAGATCTTGAGGTCAT